AACGCGCAGACCCCCGGCGAGGTCGCACCCGGAGCCGTGGTCGGAGACCACCGGTCTGCGGTCGCCCCCGCCCGACGCGGACTCGCGCGCCCCAGGCCCCGGCGCCCCGCGCCCGCCCTCGCGCGAGTTCCCCTCTGGCCCGCGCCCCCCCGCCCCGCGCGCGCAGCATGGCGCTCCCCCAGGGCCCCGCGCTCGGGCTCCTGCTCGCGGTGGCGACGGCGACTTTGGTCGCCGCTCAGAAAGGTGAGGCGCCGACTTGAGCGCAGTTGCGGAGGGGGACCGGGCGGGGGTGGCAGCCCGCGGCGTCCGGGACGGGGATCGTGGGGAGGGGACCGCCAGGCCGCGCTTTCCCGCTCGGAGTCCGGACGGGGATCGTGGGGAGGGGGGCCGCCAGGCCGCGCGCTTTCCCGCCCAGAGCCGGGACCGGGATCGTGGGGAGGGGACCCCCAGGCCACGCTTTCGCGCACGGAGCCCCGACGGTGCGGGCGGTGCCCCGGCCCGGCCCGGGGCTCGGAGGAGGCGGCGGAAAGACGCTCACTCGCACCGGCGGGAGGGAGCTGCCCCACTTCGCAGCCCTGCGCGCCTCTCTAGGGAAATGGCCCAGGGCGGGGCGAGCGGCTGGCGGGGAACGGAGTGGCCACGGCCGGGGCTCCTGCGGCCACCGAGCCAGGGCCTCGTGCCCGCGCGCACCCCTTCCTCCAGCCGGGTCGCACACGGGTCCCCAGACAAACTGGGTGGGTGGCGGAGTCTCTGGGACAGCCACCAGCCAGTCCGCTCCAGCCGTGACACCTACGGCGGGCCCCGGATGTGAGCCTCGGGCGGGGACAGGTGGCTGCGGGGAGGCCGCCAGGGCCGCTACGCACCTGCGCGGGAGAGACGGGCCTTGACTCCAGGGCGTGTGGGTGTTTTCCCATTTCTAAGGATCGTGAGTAATGCCAAGTTTATTGTAGGGAAAGCAGAGAAAACGATATCCGTAAAGAGCAAAAACCCTATAATTCCTGCAATTCCAGAATCCCCTTATTAATAATTGGGTGTATTTTTTTCATTTAGACAGTGCTCTAAACGTTGCCCTAAACGTAAACATATAGTTTCATCTGTTGATTTCCTACTATAACTTTTAGAGTTTTTCATTTCCTTTAGTTTAAAAAAACCCCAAGATTTAAATGGTGACAGAACTGTATCTGGAGAGTGGAAGGCTGCACCATTATCTACATGTTGGACATGGAGTTTGATTCCAGTTTTTCCTGCTATGGAATAAACAGCTTGGCTGCCATCTCTTGATTTGTTTGTAAAATGGGGACTAGAAGTGAAGTGACAATTGGCCAAAGCCTCGGGAAATACTTTAAATTACACTCCCCAAATAATGCAGTTTATTCATCTCTCTCTCTCTTCTTTTTCATTTTTTTGAGTTGAGGTCTCATTCTGTTGCCCTGGCTAGAGTTCAGTGGTCTCCACCTCCTGGACTCAAAGGATCCTTCTACCTCAGCCTCAGGAGTAGCTGGGACTGCAGGTGCATACCACCATCTTCCGCTAATGTTTTTGAGTTTTTGTAGAGAGACGGTCTTAATGTGTTGCCCAGGCTGGTCTCAAACTCCTGGGCTCAAGCAGTTCTCATGCTTTGGCCTCCCAAAGTGCAGAGATTACAGGCATGAGCCATCACGCCTGGCCTCAACTCTTTTTTTCTAGCTTCGAGCTAGAACTAAATACTTGCTCTTAAATTGCTTTAAAGCGGTAATATCTGCTGTGGGCATAAGCTCAGAAAGTCTGTACCTGATATCCTTAGGGATGAAAAATATGTATTGAGCTGGGCGTGGTGGCTCATGCCTGTAATTCCACCACTTGGGGAGGTGGAGGCAAGGGGATTACCTGGGACCAGGGGCTCGAGACCAGCCCGGCCAATTTAGTGAGACTTTATCTCTACAATAAATCAAAAAATTAGCTGGGCATGGTGGTGCTGCCTGTGGTTCCAGCTACTTGGAAGACTGAGGTGGAAGGATCACTTGAGCCTAGCAGGTTGAGGCTGCTGTAGCCATGAGTGTGCCACTGCACTCCAGTCTGGACCAGAGTGAGATTCCTACTCAAAAAAAAGAAAATAAAAGAAAAATATGTTTTGAGCAAGTGCAGTTTAGTGCTGCTTAAGATTTTTAACTCTTTGAAGAGTTAACACTTTCTTTTTTTGTGACCCCAATATTGAGTTAGTGTTGGACAGATTCTAGGTGGTTCATATTGATTATAACTTAAGTAGGGAAAAATTAAGGTCAATTTAGGGTACTTGGGATATGAAGGATTAGTGGAAGAACTTTTTGGTTTGTCGTGCTAGTTTTGTTTTTAATGATTGTGCTTTCTTAACTAGGCAATTAAGAGGAATTGGATGGGCTTGCCAATTTGTAGTTAAAATGAACTTTTGAGGTAGTCAAGGATAAAAGTATTAAACTGACATCAACACCCAGAATGGGCTGCTTAATATCACTTTCCAAATCAGGTGCTAGGATTTGCTTAGGAAACTCACAAACAGATGCCTCCTCCAAGTTCAGTTGTTGCTGGGTGCATTGGCTCAAGCCTGTAATCCCAGCACTTTGGGAGGTTGAGGCGAGAGGATTACCTGAGTCCAGAGGTTCGAGACCAGCTTGGGCAACTTGGTGAGACCTTGTCTCTACAATAAGTCAAAAAATTAGACAGGCGTGGTACGCATGCCTGTAGTTCCAGCTACTTGGAAGGCTGAGGTGGAAGGATCGCCTGAGCGTAGCAGGTTGAGACTGGTGGCTGTGAGTTCGCCACTGCACTCCAGCCTGGGCAACAGAGTGAGACTCCAAATCAAAAAATAAAAAAAGAAGGTGGAATTTTTCCAAGATATAGAATGGTTTAAAGGCTGAATATGTTCCTGTTAAGCCACAAAGCAAGAATCTCTTATTTGAGAAAATGGGATAGGAGAGTGAGAGAAGGTGGAGAGTCATAGATCCTAAAACTGGGATTGTTGATTTTTTTTTTTTTTTTTTTAAACAGGCAGTGACTGACAGGCAGGGATGTACCTAGCAGGACAGGAGGAGGGACAGAGCAGAGACTGGGATCACAAAGGCAAAGTTGTATATGATATTTGGATACCTTATTTTTGTTTTAAAAAATTGAAACCAGCCGGGCTTGGTGGCTCAGCCTATAATCCCGCGCCTTTGGGAGGCTGAGGTGAGTGGATTGCCTGAGCCCGCAGGTTCGAGACCCGTCTGGGCAGGTGAGACCTCACCTCTACAAAAATCAAAAAATTAGCCGGGTGTGGTAGCGTGTGCCTGTAATTCCGGCTACTCAGAAGGCTGAGGCGGAAGGATCGCCGGAGCCCAGCAGGTCGAGGCTGCGGTGGCCGGGAGCGGCCACTGCACTCCAGTCTGGGCGACAGAGTGAGACTCCAACTCAAAAAAATAAATAAATAAAAAATTGAAACTACTGGGTGTGGTGGCTCATGCCTATAATCTCAGCACTTTGGAAGGCTGAGGAAGGAGGATCACTTGAACCTAGGATTTTTGAGGCTGTCCTGGACAACATAGTGAAGTCTTGCCTCTATAATAAATAAATAAACAAACAAACAAATAAATAAGCAAGCTAGCTAGCTAGCTGGGAGATCTTGCCTCTAAAATAAATAAATAAGTCGGGAGTGGTGGTGTATGTCTGTAGTCCCAGCTACTCGGAAGGTTAAGTGGGGGAGGATCGCTTGAGCACAGGAGTTCGAGGTTACAGTGAGCCTTGATAGTGCCACTGCATTCCAACCTGGACAACAGTGAGATCTTGACCAAAAAAAAAAATCAAAACAGATTGGGCTCTTGGTAGCTTACTCCTATAATCCTAGCACTTTGGGAGGCTGAGGTGGAAGGATGGCTTGAGCCTAGGAGTTTGAGACCAGCCTGTAGAAACCTGGTCTCTACAAAAAAAATTAAACAATTATTTGGGCGTGGTGGTGTGTGCTGGTAGTCCCAGCTACTTGGCTGAGGCCTGAGCCCAGGAGGTCGTGTCTTCTGTGAGTCAAGATCATGCCACTACACTCCAGCCTGGGCGACAGAGTGAGACCCCCAACTCAACAACAAAAATGTTGAAATAGGAATGAGTGCAGGTTAGAAGGCTTTCTGTCTATAGAATGTATACAGACTATTTAACAAGTATGATATGCTTAGGGGCACTCAAATTAGAGCTAAAAAGTAAAATGTTTAGGCTTTATGTCTCTATAACTTGGACGTTATTATTGGAACATAATTTAGCTGTGACATCAGAATAGTTGAATGCACATTTTAAAATGGATATATGTATTTTTTATTTTTTAGAATGTGTCTGTGAAAACTACAAGCTGGGCACAAACTGCTTTGAGAATGAAATTGGTGAATGCCAGTGTACTTCAGCTGGTGCTCAAAATACCATTGCTTGCTCCAAATGTGAGTAAAAAATCCTAATTGCCTTTACCCTTTATTTTGGCTTAATTGATACTTTACTTGATATGCCTTGAGTTGGAAAGAGTTTAATGCCTCAAATCTGAATCATGTAATTTTGTCGAAATTATCTCACATCTGAAGCTTCTCCAGAAGGTAAGTGTGGGGCTGGGCGTGGCAGCTCAAGCCTGTAATCCCAACATTTTGGGAGGTTGAGGCCAGAGGATTGCTCTGAACCCAGAGCAGCCTGGGCAACTTGGCAAGACCTCATCTCTACAACAAATCAAAAAAGTTAGTCAGATATGGTAGCACGTGCCTGTGGTTTCAGCTATATGGAAGGTTGATGCAGAAGGATCACATGAGCCTAGCACTTTGAGGCTGTGGTGGCTTCGAACGTGCCACCGCCTTCCAGCCTGGGTGACAGAGTGAGACTCCAACTGAAAAAAAAAAAAAGAAGTAAGTGTGAAATAATCTTTGGTCCTAGGAATTTAGAGTTAAATCTAAAAACTTGGCTGTGTGTCGTGGCTCACACCTGTATCTCAGTGCTTTGGGATGCTGAGGCGGGAGAATTGCTTGAGCCCAGGAACTCAAGACCAACCTTGGCAACATGTTGAGACCCTGTATCTACCAAAAAAAAAAAAAAAAAATAGCTGAGCATGGTGGTGTGTGCCAGTAGCCCTAGCTACTCAGGAGGCTGAGGCAGTGAGGGTCGCTTAAGCCTAGGAGTTCAAGACTGCAGTGAGCCATGATCATGCCACTGTATTCCAACCTGGACAATATAGCAAGACTCCTTCTCAAATAAAAATTACAAATAAATTTTAAACAATTGTTTTCCCTGTAAGGATGAAACGGTGATTTTCCAGTTTGACATTAAGCTTTCTTTTCAGTGACTGCCAAATGTCTGGTGATGAAAGCAGAAATGAATCACTCAAAAGAGGGGAGAAGACCGAGGCCTGAAGGGGCGCTCCAGAATAACGACGGGCTTTATGACCCCGACTGCGATGAGAAGGGGCTCTTTAAAGCGAAGCAGTGCAATGGTACCGCCACATGCTGGTGTGTGAACACAGCTGGCATCAGAAGAACCGACAAGGACACTGAGATAAGCTGCTCCGAACGAGTGAGGACCTAGTGAGTAGGCTGCCTGTCATCCTTAGTTTCATGCTTTTCAGATTCATTGAAGGAACTTTGTTTTTGAATATGGAATACGAGTCCACGGTTTAGAACTCAAAAGATAGGAAAGGATATATGAGGGGGACCATCCTCCCCCTCAAAAAACAGAATTATCTTTTGGAGACCCGGCCCCTTGTAGTACAGGCTTTCCCTGCTAGATAAGTGTTCCAGGAACACATCGGCATCAGTGTACCTACTTGTGTTGTTGTGAGTGGCTGCATTGTGGAAGAATCTTCCTGAGTTGTGGCAAACCGGTAACTGGTTCTCTACCATGACAACACACCTGCCCATGCCTCACTGAGTGTTCAGTTTTTGACCAAAAATACCCTGACCTCCATGTCCCAGCCCTTCTGTTCACCTGATCTCACCCTGAGCGACTTTTTTTGTTTCCTCAGATAAAACACGTCCTCAAAGGGAACATTTTGTCAATGTGGAAGAGGTGAAACAAAAAACAACAGAAGGCTGGGTGTGGTGGCCTACACCTGTAGTCTCAGCTACTAGGGATGCTGAGATGGAAGGATAGCCTGAGCCCAAAAGGTTGAGGCTGCAGTAGATGTGAGCATGCCACTGCACTCTGACACAAAAACGGCAAAAGGCATCAAAATTGACGATTTCAAAAACTATTTTGAGCAACGGAAAAAGTGTCTTAGGACGGGAGTAGTGGCTCACGCCTGTAATCCCAGCACTTTGGGAGGTGGAGGTGAGAGGATTGCCTTAGCCCACAGGTTCAAGACCAGCCTGGCCAACTTGGCGAGATCTCGTCTCTATAATAAATCCAAAATTAACCTGGGTGAGGTAGCAAGCACTGGTAGTTCCAGCTAATTGGAAGGCTGAGACGAAGGATCGCTTGAACCCAGGAGGTCAGGCTGTGGTGGTCGTGAGTGTGCTACTGCACTCCAGCCTGGGCAGCAGAGTGAGACTGATTCAGGAAAAAAAAAAGAAATGCATCTTGATAAGTGTACGTAATAGTTGGTGATGAAAGCAGAAATGAATAGTATCAAATGAAGTAATTTGAAACACATCATATTGTCATTTGTCAGTACAGCGAAGTACATCAAATGAAGGTGACTGAAGTTTGAACACATAAGAATAAATACACAATTTTTTTCTTTTTTTCTTTATTGTAGAGATGAGGTCTCGCCAAGTTGCCCAGGCTGGTCTCGAATGCCTGGGCTCAGGCAGTCCTCTTGCCTCGGCCTCCCAAAGTGCTGGAATTATAGGCGTGAGCCAAAACGCCCAGCCATAATTTTTCTTTTGTATTTTCACTTGACATTGTTCAGTATTTTATTTTATTTATTTTTTTGAGTCAAAGTCTCACTCTGTCATCCAGGCTGGAGTGCAATGGCAAGATCATGGCTCCTGCAGCCTTAATTTGGTGAGTTTAGGCAATCTTTCCTGTCTTCCAGGTAGCTGAAACTGAAACTATAGGCACACACCACCCTGTCTGACAAATTTTTAAATTTTTGTAGACAAGGTCTTGTCAAGTTGCCCAGGCTGGGCTCAAACTCCTGGGTTCAAGCAATCCTCTCACCTCAGGCTCTCAAAGTGTTGGGATCAAAGTGTTGGGATTACAGGCATGAGCAACTGTACCTGGCACTGTTCAGTATTTTAATGTTGGAATGGTGTTTAATGTATGTGAGTAATTTAAGCTATTTATTTATTTGCTCATTTATTGTGTTTTAAAATTGAGATATGCTTGTTTTAGAGATTATATAAGGAAAAGGAACAGAAATTTACCGAAGCTAGCTTAAGGAAAAAAGATCTAATTGGAAGGAACTAGACATTGGAAAGATGTCAGTTCTCTCCATTTCATCCATTCTCTTCATTTCAGTCTTCTGGAGCCTCATCATGAGTTTGTTTCTTTTATTTTCTGAGACGAAGTCTCACTCTGTTGCCTATGCTGGAGTATAGTGGCATGATCATCACTTACTGCAGATTCGACACCCTGGGCTCAGGCGATCCTTCCATCTCAGCTTCCTGAGTAGCTGGGACTATAGACATGCGCCACCACCCCTGACTCATATTTTGATTGTTTTGTGGAGATGATGTCTTGCTATGTTGCCCAGGCTGGTCTCAGACACCTGGGCTTAAGCAATCCTCTTGCCTCGACCTCACAAAGTGCTGGGATTACAGGTGTGAACCACCACGCCTGGCCAGTTTTGTCTTTTTGATCCAACACAGCCTTGACTTCACGTGACCTTACATGCTGTTGCCAGAGAACAGAGGGTCAATAGTAAGATGTTTCCTCCTGAGTGGGCTCTTTAATGAGGAACGTGTGAGGGAAGCAATGATGGACATCTGCACTGGATAAGTCCTTTTTCTGTTCACTTTACTATAACATTCTACTTGAGAATTTTAGTATCAAGCTTATTAGGGAAATAGTATAAAACACTGAGTTACAGTCAACTGTTTTTTTTTTCCTTATAGTTGGATCATCATTGAACTAAAACACAAAGCAAGAGAAAAACCTTATGATCTTCAGGGTTTGCAGATGTAAGTTCAATGAAATGCATCATATTCTTGTACAATTGGTGCTGAAATCTTTCATTCGGTGCTGAAATCTTTCATTCTACGTGATTAGAAAAATCAAACCTACATGCTTTTTCATATTTCTGAAAAAATAAAGTTATTTGAAACAGAGTTGCCAGAATAATAACAAAGTTTCCTGCAGTATCCTTCAGATTCACCAACTTTTTGCCATAATTGCTTTTTATATATGTGGATGTGTGAATGCACATGTGTGTACTGTGTATCTGTCTATCTATACATGTATAAATGTTTTTCCGGAAACACCTGAGAGCAAGTTGTAGATGTCATGTTTCTTTACCCCAAAGTAGTGTATCTTTTCCTAAGAATAAAAAGCATCTTCTTATATAAACCACCTATATAATGATCAAAATTAGGAAATTTGACAGTCTACAATATTGGGCCAGTTTTCCCAATATAATCCTTTGTAGCAGTTTTTTCCCCTTTGATCTAGGACCTAATGCAAGATCATGAATCACAGTTAGTTGTCATGATTCTTTTTTTTTTTTTGAGTGGGAGTCTCACTCTGTCACTCAGATTGGAGTGCAGTGGCCGCTCCTGGCCACCACAGCCTCGACCTGCTGGGCTCCGGTGATCCTTCCACCTCAGCCTTCCAAGTAGCTGGAAGTACAGGCACGCGCTACCATGCCCGGCTAATTTTTTGATTTATTGTAGAGATGAGGTCTCACCAAGTTGCCCAGGCCGATCAGGAACCCGCGGGCTCAGGAAATCCACTCACCTCAGTCTCCCAAAGGTGCGAGATTACAGGCTGAGCCACCGAGCCAACTAGTTCTTCAATCTTTTTTTTTTGAGTTGGAGTCTCACTGTCACCCAGGCCGGAGTGCAGTGGCACGCTCATAGCCATTGCAGCTTTGACCTCCTGGGCTCAGGTGATCCTTCTGCTTCAGCCTTCCAAGTAGCCAGAACCACAGACGCGCGCCACCATGCCTGGTTAATTCTTTTGTTTATTGTGGAGATGAGGTCTCACCAAGTTGCCCAGGCTGGTCTCGAACCCTGGACTCACGCAATCCTTTCGCCTCTGCCTCCCATAATGCTGGGATTGCAGGCTTGAGCAACCGTGCCTTGCCTATGTAATGCATTTTTACAACTTAAGCGATTTCATGTCCTTCCCAACACTTACTGATTTCGTTAACTTTGTTTAAACCCGGTTTTTTCACTGTAAAGTTACCATTTAAAAAAATTAATAAATAATCTGTGGCAGATAATTTGGGTACAGTATAATACTGTTTCTAATTAAACTGGCACTTAGGCATTTTAATATCAGTGGATGAAGCCTGAATCAGTTATTATTGTGATAGTTGAAAAATGGCATGAAAATTTCAACTTTAGTTAATGACAATTTTAGATCTTGAGCTATCTGCTTAGTTAAAGAGTAGTGTTACTGTTGAATGGTACAAACTTTTTTTTAAAGCAGATTTTTAAACTATTTACAGTGCACTTCGGAACGTGATCACAAATCGTTATCAACTGGATTCAAAATATATAGCAAATATTCTGGTATGTTTTTTTAAAAATAAATCAGCTTTAGCAGAAAATTGGTGGGACAGTATGGTTTGGGTATAAAGGACAACCACATGATTTTAGTAGTGTTTTAATGCATTTGAGTAACAGTTTGTAGTCCTGGGTACTTAATGTAAATATCCTATTAATTGTTTTCTTTTGAAACCCCATTTTTCCCTAAAGAAAATTTATTTATTTATTTTATTTATTTTTTTTGAGTTGAAGTCTCACTCTGTCGCCCAGACTGGAGTGCAGTGGCTGCTCCCAGCCACCGCAGTCTCGACCTGCTGGGCTCTGGCGATCCTTCCGCCTCAGCCTTCCAAGTAGCTGGAACTACATGCTACCATGCCCGGCTAATTTTTGATCTGTTATAGAGATGAGGTCTCGCCAAGTTGCCCAGGAGGGTCTCGAACCCGTGAGCTCAGGCAATCTACTCACCTCAGCCTCCCAAAGGCGCAGGATTACAGGCTGAGCCACCGAGCCCGGCTAGAAAATGTATTTATTAATATCCCTAAAACATTCTGGTCTTCTTACCCTGGAGAACCTCTCCCTAAGATTGCCTTAAGGACATAATTACTTTAGAATGTTACCTACCTGGCTCCCATCTCATCTGGTCTAAGGAACTAGCCCTTACCCAGTTAGTCCTTCCTTAACAACTGTTTTTTGTTTTGTTTTGTTTTGTTTTTTGAGTCAGAGTCTCACTCTTGCCCAGTCTGGAGTGCAGTGGGCGCTCATGGCTACCACAACCTCGACCTGCTGGGCTCAGGCAATCCTTTCATCTCAGCCTTCCAAGTAGATGGAACTATAGGCACACACCACCATGCCAGCTAATTTTTTGATTTATTGTAGAGACGAGGTCTGACCATGTTACCCAGGCTGGTCTGGAAGCTGCGGGCTCAGGCAATCCACTCGCCTCAGCCTCCCAAAGTGCTGGGATTACAGGCTGAGTCACCAAGCCTGGCCCAGAGTGACGTTCTGACTCGAAAAGAATATTCTGAATTAAAATCGATGTCATTTTATGCAAGACTATTTAGAAGGAATATACTTTTTTACTATCTAAAAATAGAACATGGTAAATGCATACTGTATTTCAGATAGCATTTCTTTAGTATTTTAGTTTTAAACTAGTTCTGATTCAAATAAGGTACTTTGGTATCTTGTTTTAAAAGCTTTTCAAGACAAGATAATTATCTTGGGGAAAAAAGTGTGCATTGTAATTGTTAGGCTACATGGCTGTCTTGTTTTTCTTTAACAGATTTAGAGATGTCCCAGAGATTTTTCAATTAGTGATAAGCTTAGTTACCCATTAATGGAAAGGGCACAGTGACACATGTAGATTACAGAAAATCAAACACTGGATATTCTGATTATGGAATAATATTTTCATATGATTCTGATGATATGGATATTAATTTGTATCTTTCCATTTTCCCCCCAGTATGAGAATAATGTTATCATTATTGATCTGATGCAAAATTCTTCTCAGAAAAATCAGAATGATGTGGACATAGCAGACGTGGCTTATTATTTTGAAAAAGATGTGAGTATAATCTTCCTTATCTCATTCCTGTATTTGGGAATGTCATGTTGGCTGTCGTGCCTCAATGGATTCAAGATCTGTTACCACCTTTTTCTCTTATTAGTGATCAGCCATATCTCTAAGAGACCAGCCTGGGCAACTTGGCGAGACCTCACCTCTACAATAAATCAAAAAATTAGCTGGGCATGGTGGTTCATGCCTGTAGTTCCAGGTATTTGGAAGGGTGAGGCAGAAGGATTGCCGGAGCCCAGCAGTTGTGGCTGCGGTGGCCATGAGCCTGCCACTGCCCTCCAACCTAGGCAATACAGTGAGACTCCATCTCAAAAAACCCCCAAAAACCAAAAAAAAGCCAGCCACGACGACTCACACCTGTAATCCCAGCACTTTGAGTGGCAGAATGGTTTTGTCACAATTAATTTTGACCTTCCTGTCACTCACATGTACTTGTTTTCTTTGTATATGTATTTATGCCTCATCAAATTGCTTTCCCTGGAATATATCCTCTCTTTCTTACAATTCTTTTTGTTTTTGAGTCAGAGTCTTGCTCTGTCGCCCAGGCAGTGACACGCTCTCATGGCCACTGCAGCCTCGACCTGCTGGGCTCAGGTGATCCTTCCACCTCAGCTTTCCAAGTAGCTGGAACTATGGGTGTGTGCCACCACGCCTGGCCAATATTTAAAATTTTAAATTTATTGTAGAGATGAGATCTCGCCAAGTTGTCCAAGCTGGTCTCAAACTTCTGGGCTCAGGCAATCCTCTCGCCTCCCAAAGTGCTGGGATTATAGGCATGAGCCACCGTGCCCAGCCTTATAATTTTTATTATCTCCTTCATAGTGACTTAGTTTGCGCATCTATCTTCCCCTATTATCATTTATATAAATTATGTATTATATGCTATGTAACTGGTGTGATTGAAATATTTTGTTTACACTTTAATATAGTGAGGTATCTTGTGACGAAATCTGAGGTTTGCTTCAGAATAATCTGGGTAGGGATTTGGGGAGAGAAGGACGACTAGATTAAACATGTTGGCCTTGTGTTGATATTTTTGTCTGGTTGATTTTCCATGGCTCTTCTCTGTTTCACTACAGGTTAAAGGTGAATCCTTGTTCCTCTCTTCTAAGAGAATGGATCTGACAGTAAATGGGGAACAGCTGGACCTGGATCCTGGTCAAACTTTAATTTACTATGTTGATGAAAAAGCACCTGAATTTTCAATGCAAGGTCTAAAAGCTGGTGTTATCGCTGTCATTGTGGTTGTGACAATAGCAATTATTGCTGGAATTGTTGTGCTGGTGAGTATAAAACAAATAATGTTTCACTTAGGAGTGTATTCTCTCAAAAGAGGTAGTAATAAAAAGCTACAACCTGCCATTGCCAGGCCACTGTAGCCATTGCCACCATTGCCTTGCTAAGCCATGGTGTGCCCGTGTGCTCTTTGAGCCATGGCCAGGCCATGTTTCCTGGCTTTGGCCCCGCCTCTACCTTGGGGAGGTGAATCTCCTCTTTCTCTCTAATTTACTTCCTAAATAAACTATATTTTCTCATCTAAAAAAAAAAAAGCTACAACTACGTTTCAAAACATAGTAATGAAACAAAATCATCATTTAAAAAAATACTTCTCAGCCAGGCTCGATGGTTCAGGCTGTAATCCCGTGCCTTTGGGAGGCTGAGGTGAGTGGATTGCCTGAGCCCACGGGTTCGAGACCCGCCTAGGCAACCTGGCGAGACCTCATCTCTACAATAAATCAAAAACAAGCCGGGCGTGGTAGCGCGCGCCTGTAGTTCCAGCTACTTGGAAGGCTGAGGCGGAAGGATCGCTGGAGCCCAGCAGGTCGAGGCTACGGTGGCCGGGAGCGGCCACTACACTCCAGTCTGGGCGACAGAGTGAGACTCCAACTCAAAAAAAAAAAAGAATAATTGTGGCACCTCTTGGTCAGTGACCATGGTGATAGGACTGACTTTGAGGCAGGAATCCTTGAACTCTGTAGTCTGGCTTGTTTTGGTGCCAGTTAATTGGAGTTGAAGTAGTAATTGATCTTTTCTGCTTTGTCGCACATTTCTAATTTCAAGGTATTAAGGAAAAACAAACCTCTTAGTGACATTTCTTGTAACCGGGTGCTTTTACCTGTCTTTGATATCACTCATATTTAGCTGTGTGTTCTCTTTGCTTCTTTGTTGTCCAAAGCCACATTACATTGAGGCCTAGCCTTTTCTATTCCTTGACCTGTCAAAGCAATCCTGAAAGATTTAGACAGAATCTGTGTTCTTAAACCTCAACTAGGAAATGTTTCATATCCCCTCTTCCCTCATAACCCGTTTTGGAGGTTTTGTTTCCCTGAAGGAAATCAGTCTAGTGGGTTTTCAACAAAAAAAAATTTTGTTGTCACACATTTGGTTAGCTGTACTCTGCAGTCTCATATAAAAGAATTTGCATTAGCTCTAAGCTTATGATTAATA